AAGTGCGCGGAAATGTCGGTGTATGTTGGTCTTGAAACGGTTCAGGTTGTAACCTGCAGGGAAAACCGTCGCAGGGAGTTTATTCCACAGCGATGCTGTTCTCCAGAGATATGAATTCTGATATAATGAGGTTCTTGGGGCCTCTAGTTTGACAGTAAATTCATGGTTACCGTCTGTTTGACGGGTTCGCCTGGTAGGTGCTACTCTCGGTGGAATCATACGTGCCAACTCTTCAGAGCATTTTCCGTGATAGTACCTGTAGAAGAGAGATAAATCGCCTACAGATCTGCGATGTTCGAGACCATCCAAGTTACGAGTAAGTGCGGGGTCATTGATCAGCTTGATAGCTCGTTTTTGCACGGTATTCAAAAGCATTAAGGTATGTTTGGGTGCTGCACTCCATATATGTGAGCAGTACTCCATAGTTGGTCGAATCTGGGCTTTGTAGAGTGTCAGCAATTGGCTTGGTGTGTACAGATGTCTTGTACGAAATAGCACCCCCAGCTTTTGGGAGGCCCTTTTAGCAATATCTGCCACGTGACGGTGCCAAGACATGTTAGTCTCTGCAGTAACCCCCAAGATGTTCAACTGAGTCTGTAATGTGACAGCACTTCCAGATAGCATGATGTTTGGCTCGCCGGTGCTGGTCTTTTTTGAAAACAGAGCTGCTTGGGTTTTCTGCGCGTTGAACTGTACAAGGTTTTTGTTACCCCAGTCCTCTATTATCTCCAGGTCGTTATTTATCTGCGATATTTGAGTTAGTCTAAGATGATGGAATTCACGTGCGGAAAGACCTGTGGGTGGTATGAGTGAGGAGACTACATTGCCATCGTCTGCAAAGCAATAAAGTGGATTTACTGTTTTATCTATGAGGTCATTTATGTAAATCAGAAAAAGAGTTGGCGAAAGGATTGCTCCCTGTGGCACACCAGCATTTATTTGGTAAGAGTTGGAGTTCTGGCCATCCAGTGCAACATAAATGGATCTGTCCTTTAGGTAACTTTCAAACCAAGTGCAAAGTTTCGGCGATAATCCCATTGCTTTGAGCTTGTTGAGCAGATTTTCATGCCAAACTTTGTCGAATGCTTTAGATATATCCAAGGCAATTGTTCTTGTTTCACCCCGCAACTCAATCGCTTTTTGCCATAAGTGAGTGACGTATGTAAGTAAATCGCCAGTTGACCTATATTTTCGAAATCCGTATTGCTTATCGTTGATAATTTTGTACTTTTCCAAGTACTTGGTTAGGTGATTGTTCACAACTCTTTCCATTACTTTTGATATCACCGGAAGTAGAGCAATTGGTCTATAGTTTAACGGATCTGTCTTTTTTCCTTTCTTTGGAATGGGTTGTACTGCGGCAGACTTCCATGATGATGGATATACTCCTCGCCTGTAAGACAAATTGAATAATTTTGCGAAAGTTGGGGTGAGTTCGTTGGCGCAATTTTTGAGTACTATTGCGGGAATGCCATCCGGACCCATTGCTTTGTTTGTATCCAGCTTTTTTAGGGATTTTCGTATTTCTCTGTGACAAAAGGGTACCTCTGGCATACTATGGGAAACCCTTTCAATGAACGGTGGAGTTTTTCCGTTTGGCACTGTTAGGTTGGAGTTGGAGGAAAACATTTGGGCAAGCATATTGGCTTTTTCCTCTGATGTTGTGGCTAAGTGATTATTTTTATCTGTAAGTGGTGGTATGGATGACTTGGTGAAGTTAGATCCAACAGCTTTTGCAAGAGACCAAAAAGACCTAGAACTACTTGGACAATTCAGCAACCTGTTTTTTATTCTTTGATTGTATGTTCCTTTAGCGGAGTCAATAGTAATTTTGCAACTATTTCTGGCTTCTATAAATTCTGTGTGGTTTTGAGCGGTTTGTTGTCGTTTCCAAAGGTTATATGCTCTGTGTTTTTTCTGTACAGCCGTTTGACACTGGCTGTTGAACCAAGGTTTTGCATTAGCTCTACGTTTAGTTGTATGTGGGATATATGCGTCCATTCCAGATAAGATTACTTGTGTTATTTCATTACAGCAAATAGTGGGATCAGCTGTTTTAAAGCAAACCTCTTGCCATGGAAAATCCAGGTAGTACTGTTTTAGGTCATTCCATTTTGCCGATTTATAGTGCCACATTTTACGAGGAAGTGGTTGTAGGCTTGGTGAGATGAGCATTTCGCACTTTGTTATTATAAGTTTATGATCGGACGAACCAAGTGGAGCATCTACTTGAATTGTGTACGAGTCAGGATTTGTGGTTAGGAACAAGTCTAAAAGCGCTGCAAATTCGCCCCTTTCTGAGATACGGGTAGGTTCATCGACAAGCTGCGTTAGACCACAACTTATGGCAAAAGCTTCTGCTTCTCTGCCTTCGTTATCTGTTTTGTTGTGGTGTGTCAGCCAGGGTATATTGTGGACGTTGAAATCGCCTAAAAAGACAATTTCCGCCTGTGGATAGTTTGACTGAATACTATCACAGCTTTCGGATAATGTCGCGAAAAAGTTTTGGTAATCGGTGTTACTTGGCGGTCGGTAGAGGCAGCAGATAAACTTGGTCGATGACTTTGAGGTGAATTTTAGCCATATGATATCAAGGTTCGCTGGTTCTAGCTTCTCCTCTCGATGACATGAAAGGTCATTTTTAATGTACACACAGATCCCAAAATTATGTCGAAATCGGTGGTGTAGGTCATAGCCGGGATAAAGATAGTTCACAATAGGTGTTGCAGAACTGATTTTAGTTTCAGTGTGAACAAGGATGTCAGGTCTTTGTTCTTCAAGATGTTGGTGAACTGAATTCATATTTGTACTTATTCCTCTTATATTGCTAAAATCAATTCTGAGTTGAGTTTTTGATCTTCTCTTTATATCTTTGCATGAAGGACCCCCAGGATCACCCGACGCCCGGAGATCCGAGTGGTCGGGTATTTTACCTCCGGAATATTTTGATCCTGAAGGCGCCATCATGCTATCTGTTACTCATTGTTGGAACCGGACTGCCAGCGCAGTAGCGGAACGTGGTGATACCACTTAGCGCTACTCAATTCTGGCATGGTGGTATCTCACCGGTCGACGCCCAATGAGTAAAAAGCGTCTATGCACCTACCTGAAAGATTGTGCTAAGAACCTACTTTATATAACATTATTTGAATATTCTCATAGGAACATTATTATAATGTACCCTAAAAAATATTCTTTAAGCTAATATCTCTATCAAGTATTAAGAACATACCTACCAAGTTGTGCTGAGAAGTTTATGTAGGTAGGTAAGGTAACCATGATAAGAATATTTTCATATTGTTCACCTAATTATCTAAAGTACCTACTCAAAAATCTTAATTGTACAATTAAACAATAATGCTCTATTTAGAACCTACTAAGAATATTATAGGTATATTCTTTTTCTTTTGCTTTGTATGACTTCCAAGAGAGGGAGCGACGCGTTATTAAAGATCTACATCTTGCCTCGCATTTGAATCACCTTGGAACCTGTTTCTCTCAGTTGGCGTGCTTCGACGAAAGCATAACAAGCTCAAAACCGGAGCTTTGGTTAAATACTCGTGTTTTCTAGAGAAGTTTTCCAACAACTCTTCCACTGCCTTTAATATAAAAGAGCTGAAACGAGCATTATTTGGAAGCGAAAATTAACATTCCAAGTATATCCTCAGAATCAAACAAGAATGTTATGTCTAGGATGCATATTGAGAATGATATATGTAGATATATTCTAAGAATATTTCAAGCATATTGGTATAATATTCTTTCGAGAACATAAATAATGTCATAGAAACATTCTTTGAATGTGAGAATATAGGTATACGTTTCGAGCATATTTTTAGAATCAAACAGGAATATTCTTTTAAGGACGTACTGAGAATTTCATAGGTATATTCTAGGAATATCCTAATGGATTTCCCAGGAAGTTCTTGGGTATTGCAAACAGTATTTCTACAATCTTTTCTCAGAACATTCCCAGGACATTCGCAATGGTTTTGGCGAACATTCTAGACACATTCCTCCTAAAAAAAGAACATTCTTAGTACATTCTAAGGATGCAATTTTGTTATGTGGGTTTAGAGTGAAAAATTAATACACGAATGATAAAAAAAAATGTTTTGTTCCAAAACAACAGTCAACTGTGACTACGACCTCAATGAATGACTTGCCCTCTCTATTTATGTAGTGTTACTCTGAGACTACGACGTTCCGGATTTCCATTTTTTTTTTTTTCACTTTTGTCTTTGGTCTTTCGTGTACTATAAATTAACTTGAATCCCTCCACAACAGTGGTGATTAACCCCTCGAAATTTCTATCAATTTTTTAGAAGACTTACGCCCCCCTTAATGTTGCTTCACGCCTCCCCAGGGGGGCACGCCCCCCAGTTTGGGAACCACTGCTCCACAATAATGAATAATATGATGCTTTTGCGTCTGTTTAACTTTATCAATTTCAAAATCAGATCAATTATTTTACTCGATGATTTTACCACTTCCCGCATCTACACATGAACGATTTTTAATTTTTTTTAACAACAACCACAACGTGACAACATAAGCTTGACAGTTTTCAGCTCTGCGCATGCTTACTCTGAAAAATTCTCTTTCCGAGGTGGAAATTTTGGAGTGAGCTCCATTTTTTCCACTCCATATAGTGGAACGCTAATGGAGTCACTCCTAATACGCCAAAAAGCAATACCTGAACGGCTGGAGTGCGAATGAAGTCACTCGGAGTGAGCGAGCCGAACCCAACTCATATATCAGAAGAAACAAAAACAAACGTCACAACTTCGCCACGATTACGCCGAAAAGTTCAACAAAACCCAACTTTTTGCCGTAGCGGCAGCGTGATGTCAAAAATTCAAGATGGCTGCACTGCCGCCAATGAAATCGTACAAATTAAATCACGTGATTAGTTACGCTTACGTCAATTACGCCCGTGAGGTCTCGCCCTTAAGAGGTAAGAAAAATCTGTTTTTAAAAAATTTATTTCTGTCAAAAATATGTCAAAGGTCGATAATGCAGTTGTATTTATGGACCGAGGACATTACACAACTTGCACGGTACATCTACACGGAGGCACAATTTCTTCGTACCGCGTCAACAACAAGGAAATGCTTTATTTCAAAGAAAGAACCTCATTCAACCATTTCTCACCAATCAGGTAAACAAACTCACTTTTGAACAAAACAATCAATCGCAGAAAATTGTTATAGGGGAGGCATAAAATACACTTTTCCGTATTACGGCCGGAGAGTGAACGGTCCAAAACATGGATTTGCCAGATACGTGCCCTGGAAACTGGAACAGGGGCCGACTACGAACGCCGACAGAAATATTGAGGCCGTGTTCAGTTTGACTGATTCTGAATACACTAGAGCGGTTTGGAATTTTAATTTTAAAATCACTTTCAAGGCAAGTTGAATTAGGTAACTAAGATAATATACCTGCTCATTAAACAGTTTAAATTTCTTGAATTACACTTTAAGCATTTAGAAGACAATATTTTTCAAAAACTATTCTGACTGAAAAAAGTAAAAGCAATTTTGTGATGATTGTAAACAGCTCTAAATTGAAATACCTACTTACTAGAAAGGTTACATTGAAAAACTGGAACAATCAACTCAATTTCTAATTCAAACTAGAGCCAAAAATAGGTAATCATTTGATTAATCAATTCTCCATTGAAGAAATTTAAAAAATTGACACATTGATACACAAGATAAATAAGATTTGAAGCCCTTCACGTATACCAGTCATGATTGATTTTGGCTTTTGCGATTTTTTTGATTTCTTGACAACAGTGGCTGCACCTCCAGATAATGCGCCTAAAGCACCAAGACCAGCAAAGATTGGAACAAGTGGTAGTTCGCTACCTGTTTTCGGTATGGGTAAGTTACGAGGGGTCTTGATTTTTTTCCTACATTCATTACATCTTTGATATTTGATCACACGAGAAGCTAGGGAAATAAATAGTACACAAAGTCAGAACTCTGTATGGCTTGATAAGTCATGGAATACTGCCTGGTACGCCCTGAGGAATGTTCGAGATCATACTTATCCTTGTGACCATCCAGTCTTTGGCACGTTGCCTTTCAGGTTGACTTGGGAGACAGTCTGAGGAGAGATTTAGTCCAAAAGCAGGAAAAAAGAGTTGAACAAGGGAGATCGCTAGATAAAAACGAAAAGTTAAAGCAGCGCCAGGATTCAACTAAGGTGCCTCGGGAATGTTAACTCCCGTGCTCATAAGGTGTGAGCCCCAAGATTAAAGGGATTGAAAGAAAAGAATTGAAACAAATACAAAACAAGTGAGATTGGAAGACACACAAATGCTAAAACTAATTACGAAAATCCTTTGAAACGTCACCAGCTGTGAGATTCTAATTCTCAAACCAATGAAAAAAAGCAAAACATCGTATACCAAAATCAATTTAAAAAGCTTGGCAAAAAACTCCAATTATTGCTGATAAAAGCTTCGAACTTTCACAGATCATTTTACACTCCCCAACACGCCCAAAACTTTGAACAGCAAAAAAAAAGGGAAAACATAAACACAAAAAACAGTTCAGGTTCGTTCGCTCCCATTTCACACTAAAACGAAGTTGGAAAATTGATTACTTCAAAACACAAAATTCTCATAACAACAAAACAAAACCCGACTTACTGTGTTTTCGTATTTCGAGCTCTCCCGCCGAGTGGATTAAAAGGAAAATTGCGTCACGTCTCTTTCGATTTTCCTTTAAAAAGTAAACTCCTCCCAAGCCCCTATACTCTTTCAAAAAAACAAATTATGTATTTTCAAGCTCTCCTTTATTCCATTAAGTTTGTATTTTCGAGGAGATTGGATTTGTACAAGTGCACTCGTGCGGGCCATTTTGAGAATAATGACTGGCATGGCGAATAATAACATTTTTCGGGTTTTGCGTCTGTTGCGGAAAGCTCGTTTCGGAATACAACCAGATGAAGGTTTTAATATTTAGATTGCAGTATAGTTTTAAATATCTACTTCTTTGCAGCTCATTCTGTGCATGTACGAACTCCAAATCGACCTGAAAGTTGAAAACACCAGCAAGTATTTCCCGTGCATTTTTCGAATATTGAGGCACTCGATATTTCGACTTGAGGATTTGAATAAATGCGAAATATACGGTTTGAAAAATTGCAGACGCGTCCGGTCGTCTGGGAAACGGGAGGGAGATGTGGATGTGTTTAGTCAGGATGAAAAACTGATTATTCATGAGCGTACTTCGGCCGTAAGAATAATATTTTTTTGTTTATTCTCATAAAAATCAAAAATTAAATGATTTTGCGAAGCCTCTCAATTGCAAAATTATTGAAGCTATACTTCAAAATTATTAGTAGAGAATTTAATTGGCTTCAATTTGGAGCTAATTACGTTAAGGCGGATTTAAACAACTTTTGATAAATTTAAGTAGTAATTTTTTCATAATTTAATGCGTAATTTAATACATAACTCAAAACCCCAGTTTAAACATCTTCATAATTTAATACATAATTTTTGAAATTTTACTAATATTCTATTGATATTTTGAAATTTGATACGGACAGAACTCGAAAGGTCCAGTTTTTTTCATAATTTAATGCATAAAAGTTAAAAGTTAGGAACTTTTAAGGTTATCCATTATGAACTAAATTATGAATTGAGCATTAAATAGATGTACCTATAAACGCTTCCATAGAAAATAATAAAGGACCTCGCACATTTCTTATGGAAAATGGCTTTCGGCTAAATTTTCTGAAAATTTGAGATTATGTAGTTCTCGATGTCCTGATTAAAAGTTCTCATGAGCACAACTCAATCCTATGATCAGTTTTTGAGTTATGTTTTATCAAAATTGGCTTTTTGAGACTTCGAGATATTGATTTTTTTTCAACATATTTGTTTATATTTCCTCCATTAGCACATTTAAATTAAAAGTTTCTACTCTAAGTTTTAGGTGTTTTGGTGACTTCTTAAAATGTGGTATAAAAGTTCCTACAGCGTTTTACACAAAATGGTGGCGGCAAAGAAATGTCAATTTAAAAAAAGCCGCAAATAACTAAATTCGATCAATTGTGTAGAATACAAAAACGAACGGCTTGATTTTGCTCTATTTTCAATATGTTGTTATCAAAAGTATACTTAAGAATACCTACTATAGTTTTGGATCCAGAATGTTATACCAGGTGTTCATTTTGTACCATGGCCCCGGTGTAGATGGTAAATGCCGACTGCAAGCGGGTTTCTAGTTCAAATGCTGTTTCAATGGGCATTATTCATTGTTTTAAGTTCACCGTAGGAATGGAGTTCACTAAAATTGATAATATTGACTAAGCGTACAAAACATAGAATAGTCTCACCTTTTTTAAAACTGTACAAATAACCATTTTCAAATATAGCGTAAGAAAAGAGTGCCATCAAACTTATGCCTATACTTAAAACTAATTGTTGTATCTTGGGGTTCAGGATATTAATAAAGGTAGTCGTCTGAATAGGGTTTTTATTTCACTCCCAATATTACATAAAACATTTAGAGTATAACGATCGGACATTTTATTTCACGAACACGATTTGGATAACCTTCTTCTAGGTTGGCTGGATTGAGAGAGACAGCTCGTCAGGCTGCTCTCTGGATGACGTCCTCTGTAGGAAGCATGCTCAGTGTTGCTATACGTCAGTATGCGTAGTTGCCGTTACCACACACCTTCCCCTCAAAGTTCTGAAACTCATATATTTCAGAAACAAATAACAATCATTATGTAAGTCTACAATCATTAAAAATTACAACCATCTGACGATGCTTGCCGGAAAATGTTTTCTTTCTGTACTTGATAAGCTACACAAATTATTAGCAATAAATTTTTTTTATTTCTTTTTCTCATTTAAACTTATTGTCCAAAAGATTTTCCTGGCAATTGCAGCATCTTTACAAATTGTATCATAACTTGGGTTCTGTTGACAATCTGGTGAATGCTCGCAAATGAATATGTATTTATTTGTAATGCTGAAAGCATAGACACTACTTACTCACAGAACTTTTCAGTTATGGCTAAGAACGATGTGGTGTTATGTAACACCGACAAATATTTCTAACATATAACCTTTGGAAACGACAACAAACCGCTCAAAACCACACAGAATTTATAGAAGCCAGAAATAGTTGCAAAATTACTATTGACTCCGCTAAAGAAACATACAATCAAAGAATAAAAAACAGGTTGCTGAATTGTCCAAGTAGTTCTAGGTCTTTTTGGTCTCTTGCAAAAGCTGTTGGATCTAACTTCACCAAGTCATCCATACCACCACTTACAGATAAAAATAATCACTTAGCCACAACATCAGAGGAAAAAGCCAATATGCTTGCCCAAATGTTTTCCTCCAACTCCAACCTAACAGTGCCAAACGGAAAAACTCCACCGTTCATTGAAAGGGTTTCCCATAGTATGCCAGAGGTACCCTTTTGTCACAGAGAAATACGAAAATCCCTAAAACAGCTGGATACAAACAAAGCAATGGGTCCGGATGGCATTCCCGCAATAGTACTCAAAAATTGCGCCAACGAACTCACCCCAACTTTCGCAAAATTATTCAATTTGTCTTACAGGCAAGGAGTATATCCATCATCATGGAAGTCTGCCGCAGTACAACCCATTCCAAAGAAAGGAAAAAAGACAGATCCGTTAAACTATAGACCAATTGCTCTACTTCCGGTGATATCAAAAGTAATGGAAAGAGTTGTGAACAATCACCTAACCAAGTACTTGGAAAAGTACAAAATTATCAACGATAAGCAATACGGATTTCGAAAATATAGGTCAACTGGCGATTTACTTACATACGTCACTCACTTATGGCAAAAAGCGATTGAGTTGCGGGGTGAAACAAGAACAATTGCCTTAGATATATCTAAAGCATTCGACAAAGTTTGGCATGAAAATCTGCTCAACAAGCTCAAAGCAATGGGATTATCGCCGAAACTTTGCACTTGGTTTGAAAGTTACCTGAAGGACAGATCCATTTATGTTGCACTGGATGGCCAGAACTCCAACTCTTACCAAATAAATGCTGGTGTGCCACAGGGAGCAATCCTTTCGCCAACTCTTTTCCTGATTTACATAAATGACCTCATAGATAAAACAGTAAATCCACTTTATTGCTTTGCAGACGATGGCAATGTAGTCTCCTCACTCATACCACCCACAGGTCTTTCCGCACGTGAATTCCATCATCTTAGACTAACTCAAATATCGCAGATAAATAACGACCTGGAGATAATAGAGGACTGGGGTAACAAAAATCTTGTACAGTTCAACGCGCAGAAAACCTAAGCAGCTCTGTTTTCAAAAAAGACCAGCACCGGTGAGCCAAACATCATGCTATC